TATCTCACACTGTCTGTGGATCAGGAATACAGGAACAGTTTTGCTGGCTGATTCCGTCTGAAGATCTCATAAAGTTACAGTCAAGATGTGAGCTGGGGCTGCAGTGTATCTGAAGGCAGGAATGGAACTAGAAGATCTGTTTCCAAGATGGTTCACTCGTGTTGCTGGCATGTTGACGCTGGCTGTTGCCAAGAGGCCTCAGATTTCACCACATAGAGCTCTCTGTAGGGCTTCTGAAGTATCCTCAGAATATTTATTTATTATAGCTGAGTCAGTGATCCATGCAAGTACAAGGGGCAATGCATTTTATGACCTAGCTTCAGAAGCACAAGTTGTCATGTCCATAGTGTGTATTGCTCACACAGCTCAGCCCTGCCTCTTTATTATGGGAGGAGACTACATAATTGCCTATATACCACAAGGTAGAGCTCACTGGAGTCATTTTGTAAGCTAGCTATCACACTTAACTATTGTTTAAGAGTGGAGATTTAAAAAAAAAAAAAAAGCTGATTAGACATTCTAAACGTGTGAGTAGAAATTGTGAATTGTGGATATAGCTCTCACTGTAGGGTGATCTGTCTGGGCCTATTAGTTGGATACCTCTGAAGTCATTCTCATTAGGTCTTTCTCATTGGTCTGGTTAGATTTTCACAGAGAAGGCGGTTTTCCGCCTGCAGGGTGAAGGCTAGGCTGCTTGTGTTCTGCAAACTGATGAAAGAAAGAAGGCTGTGAAGTCTTGGCATCCACGTAATCCTCCATATTCACTACAGCGCTTGCCTTCCAGTGTACCTGATGTCTCCCTAGTCGGAGACTCTCTGTTTTACCTTCTTCCTAAAATAAGCCTCCCACCAAGACTGGGGAGAGATACACCTAGGCTTTTAACTAGTCCTTATTTAACTGCCCCTTCAGCTCTACTTCTAGAAATATTTGGTGCTCAATTCCTAAGCTTTTGAGGATTCTACAAATAGAAGTTGAGTTGGTTCTCAGTTCTCCATACTCCTGAATTAGAATTCAGTTTTTTGGGATCTCCTATTTATTTAGCACACGTCTATCTATATTATAACTTCCAACAGTTTTTTTGCTGTTCACGCCTTTCCTGTTTTCTCTGCCCTTTTGGTTTATGCCTTTTTAAAAGAATTTTCTTTGCTGTCATTTTTATAAATGTCTAAAGGCATTGTTTGAAGAGGCCTGCATCTGCATTAAGAATGCATTCCTTCTTCCCCAATTGGAACTAACTTGAAATGGTAGGGGAGATAAAGGCAGGGAAGGGTCATGGGAATCAACAGAGAATCCTCAAACTTTATTTTTTCCAATAGTATCATACTTCTAACCCTAAAAAAATATCAAGGAATAAATTTTCTTTTCTTTTCACTACATGTTTTCAGCAGCTGCCAGACTGGAACAAAACTAGCTGATATATTAGCTTTATAGTAATCCCTCCTTTTTGCTTCCTGATCTCCTTGAATGGAGTTGCTTAATGCCCAAATTAATGCCCAACTCAAAATGAGAAGAAGCGCCTGCAAACATTAATAATCAGAACATGGAATATACAAAGTATCGATCTGGAAAATTGGAAATTGTCAAAAATGAAATGGAATGCATAAAGATCAAGATGTCCTAGGCATTAATGAGCTGAAATGGAGTGATACTGGCCATTTTGAATCAGATAAACCTGGTATATTATACCAGGAATGATAAATTGAAGCAGAGTGGTGTCACAATCATTGTCAAAAAGAACACTGCAAGATCTGTTCTGAAGTACAATGCTGTCAGTGACAGAATAATATCCAGACATCTACAAGAAAGAACAATTAATACAATTGTTATTCAAATTTACGTACAACCACTAATGCCAAAGATAAAGAAATTGAAGACTTTTACCAACTTCTGCAGTCTGAAATTGATCAAGATGCACTGATAATTAATGCTGATTGGAATGCAACAGTTGGAAATGAAAAAGGATCAATAGCTAAAAAAATAAGGCCTTAGTGATAGAAATGATGCCAGAGATCGCCTGATAGAATTTTGCAAGACCAATGACCTATTCATTGGAAATACCTTTTTTCAACAACATAAATGGCAACTGTAACATGTGGACCTCACTCAGTGGAATACACAGGAATTAAATCTACTACATCTGTGGAAAGAGACAATGTGGAAGCTTAATATTATCAATCAGAAAAAGGCCAGGGACCAACTGCTGGACAGGCCATCCAGTTGCTCATATGAAAGTTCAAGTTGAAGCTGAAGAAAATTAAAACAAGTCCCTGAGAGCCAAGGTATGACCTTGAGTATATTCCACTTAAATTTAGAAACCATCTCAAAAATAGATTTAACACAAATGACTAAAGACCAGACAATTGTAGGAGGACATCATGCATAAAGAAAGCAAAAGGTCATTAAAAAGACAAGAAAGAAAGAAAAGATCAAAATGGATGTCAGAAGAGATTCTGAAACTTGCTCTTGAATGTAAGAGTAGCTAAACTACTGGAAGAAATGATGAAGTAAAAGAGCTGAATATAAGATTTCAAAGGGTGGCTCAAGAAAACAAAGTCAAGCATTATAATGAAATGCACAAAGACCTAGAGTTAACCAAAAGAGAAGAACACACTTGGCATTTTTCAAGCTGAAAGAACTGAAGAAAAAAGTCAAGCCTCAAATTGCAACACTGAAGAATTGTATGAGCAAAATATTAAATGCCACAGGAAGCCATAAAAAAAAATGAAGGAACCCACAGAGTCACTGTACCAAAAATAATTGGTCAACGTTCAATCATTTCAAGAGGCAGCGTATGATCAAGAACCAATGTTACTGAAGGAAGAAGTCCAAGCTGCATTGAAAGAAGTGGTGAAAAACAAGTCTCCAGGAACTGACAGAATACCCACAGATATTACAAGTGGATGCAACACTGCAAGTGCTTACTTGTCTATGCCAAGAAATTTGGAAGGCAGCTACCTGGCCAGTCAACTGAAAGACATCTGTGTTTGTGCCCACTCTAAAGAAAGATGATCCAACAGAATGTGGAAGTTATTGAACAGTATATAATTATATCACACATGAGTAAAATTCTGTGGAAGATAATCCAAAAACAGTTGCAGTAGTACATCAACAGGGAACTGCAAGGGATCTCATTGCTAATGCCAGATGGATCTTGGCTAAAACAGAGGATACTAGAAAAATATTTTCCTGTGTTTTAGTGACTATTCAAAGATAATCAACTGTGCAGTGTGTGACTCAGCCTGAGAAAGGTGGTATTTGCTGTAGTGCCTAAATTTATAAATTTCATTCTGCTTGTGCATAAGGTCACTATGAATCAGAGACTATTCAATGGCACCTAGCAACAACTAAATTTATAAATGAGGATCAGAACTACTCAATAAATTAAAAGGATTTACTCTTTGAAAACTATAGTAAGATACACACTTAAAAAGAAAATATACCCTTGGCTGTATATTTTGCATGAAATTGCTGAATAGTACTTCTTTATGAAAAAATTATTTCTAAAACTCCAAGATTAAAAGATGCATAAAAAGCAATTAATTTTCATCTGTTTTTGGGGATCCTTTGTGATTCATTTATTGATGCCATTTGCTTTCAGAATTGGAATTTAATGAAAAAAAAAAACTTTAACGTGATCTATTGACCTTGATTAAGTGAAAGTATGTTGCCTTACAGAAATATTTCCCTTTTTCTTTGTTTTTAGGTTGGCGTTGTAAACGGTATGGTCACCGAACAGGCGACAAAGAATGCCCTTTCTTTATCAAAGGCAACCAAAAGTTAGAACAGTTCAGAGTAGTAAGTAAAACCCCACAATGTCAATTATATTTATTGAAGATGGTGAATGTTGATGAATCAGTCATCAGTGAACTGAAGGTTCACAGAAAATACATTCCCAGAAGCCTACTGGCCAAAGCATCTGGGGTTAACAGCATCTCTATTAAATTGCATTTGTGTGACAGATTAGGTCTTTAAATAAAAAAACGAACTTCTTTTTAAAGTGTTTTTTGCTTATGTATTGAGAACAGCAGTTCTTTTTTCTGAAGCATATATTGTTTTCTATTCCTTCACTTTCAAAATTTATTAAAGAAGCTATTTCTTAACTAAAGTTAGGGTATTAGTTTCTCGATCTTAATTTAATGATTAGATATCTTTCTATTATAAGATAGAACTGCATGTAACTTACATATTTTCATTAAATGACAATAAGACAAATCTCTTACTTCCTTGCTTTATTTTAGCAGAGTATTAATTCACTGTTCAGTAAATACAGCTTCCAAATTAAATATTCTGCTGTCTGGATATATTCAAGTTATCAGAATATAGTAATCTATGGTCCACAGACATTCTCCAAGGTTTTAAGACATTTTATATATGGTGTTTTCATTTTAAAAATCAAAAAATAATTATTTTGGATCAAGCATACCAGATGAAATGTCAATTTTTGTAGCTATATACTATAGAAGATACTTTTGTGATAAATGTCAAAATATTTAAATATATTCATATTTTTTAACTCAGAAATCTCAATTCTAAGAATTTGTCCAAAAGCTATAATAGAATATCAGTATACACATATTTTTATGTATGTATAAGGATAACTTTCAGAATTATTTATGTGGCTGAAAAAAATAGAAACTAAAGAAAAATAGGAAATAAATATCTAATATCCCAACAGAAATTACTGTAACAGAAATTATATAGCCTTTAGGAATTATGTTCTAGAAGACTGTATAATGTCATAGAAAAATTAAATGAAAACATAAGTTAAAAAAATAGAGTTGTACATATAATATTACATTAATACTGTAATTTTTCATAAATTACTAATATTAACTAGGAGAAACACTAAAAATGTTAGCAATGGTTATCCCCGGGTGGTAAGATAATAGGTTTTTTTATTATTATCATTATTATTATTATTTAATTTTCTTCTATAATATCTAAAATTTGTACAGTTGACACATATTCTTTTAGTGAGATAATTCATATACTCTTAAGTCATTTTTAATTACACAAATAATACAAGAATACATTTGCCTTATTAAAGAAAATGAAACTTGCCTCCCTCCCCAAAGGAAGTTGCAGTTAGCAGTTTGATGGGTATACTTCCAGATATCTTTTAAGTTACTTACATATATTTTTATGTACCTAAAATAGATCATTCTTATATAACATTTTGCAACTCAGTTATTTTATTTATTGGTATGTTTGCCATCT